CTGCGGGCCAGTGGCCTGTCCGAGGTAGCCATCGTATAGAGCGCCGCCTCTCGTCACGGCCGCGTATCCTCCTCATCCTGCTCCTCCTCTCCCTCCTCCTCCTCTACACATCCTACCCGCCCCCGCGTACGCCACCCGACTGTGCCCCTACTGCGCTTACAAATCCGCCCTGTTGCGCGCACTTTCGAGACAGGACGCCGGCACAGATGCTTGCCTGGCTGGCCCATGCCGCTTGGCGAGGGCGGCAAATACGCACAGGCGGAGACGGGGGTTGAGACAGAGGCGAAAGCAGGGGCGCGGGCAGGAGGGAAGCCATGGACGGGACCACACAACATAGAGAGATGAAGGACGAGAGGCGGAGGCAAAAGAACACAACAGGCACAGGGACGGAGGCACGCCAAGACGGAGGCGGAGGTGCAGGCCCAGGCGGAGGCGTAGAAAGAATCACCGGTGGATGCACAGGCAGACTAAGGGGCTGGGGGGGAAGCAGACGCAGACCATGTTCCGCACCTCTGCTCTTGTTATGCCCCTGCTGCCCTTCCCCCCGCTGTTCCTCGTCCTCCGCATCCCCCACCGCTCATCATCTGTATATACAGATACGTATGCATGAACGTCGATATGCACTTATATACATATATGTATACATATATGTAGGCATAAAGATATGCATTCGTGTTTGTATACATATATAAACATAAACATAGACATGGACATAGACAAGTACATGTATACACACATAAACGTATATATGTACGTATGCCTGAGGATAGACATACCCATATACATAAATGTACGCTATACAAATACATAAACATGAATATATATATATATATATACAAGTGTACGTATACATATGCACATACAAATAGCAATATATGTATACATAAATCTATACATGTACCGTCCTTACACACATACAATTCAACATACTGCTACGTATATACATGTGTGATTTCATGTACATGTACATAAATATGTTTATGTACTATACGTACACATGTACATATACATTGGCATGCATTTGGATATGTGTACATGTTTATGGTTAGGTACATGTGTGCATGTATATGCAAATGTGCATGTAAAGATGTATGGACAAAAGTGCATGTATGTAGATGCATGTGTATATGGTTGCGTATGTGTGTATACATTTGTGAGTATGTATATGCATGAATATGTGTATGTATATGTATGTAAGTACGTACGTATGTATGTATGCATGGATGGATACATGTACGCATGTATGGGTGAATATCTCTATATCCATGTATGTACGGATATATGTTTGTATGTATATGTGAGTGAATGTATGTGTGTGTTTGTGCAGGTATGTGTGTCACATGAATATATGCATATATATATATAAACATACATAAATATATATATATATATACATGATTGTACAAATGTCATGTGTATATATATGCATACATATGCATATATAAGTATATATATTCCAGCAAGGATATCCTCAGGATGACTCAGGTTTGTGTATGTTTGCTCGGCTCGCTGGCTAAACCGCCCGACCAGCTTGCCATTCCTCACCATATACATATATATATATATATATATATATATATGTATGTATGTATGTAGATGTGTATATATACTGGCCGAGGATTATAGCCGAGGATATATGCATATGTGTATACATATAGCTATTTTTATCCCTGTGTAGCGCGAGGCGCATCAGGTTATGCTGGAATAGGGCTGACCAAGGGTCAGACACGGGCGCGCCCAACGACGCTGCCGCCAGCTCGACGGGCGGGCCCTTTGGCCGGTGCGCGCGACAGGCCTCGACGCTGAGCTTCGCGGCGCTGCACATTGTCAAGGTCGTCAAGCTCAGCCACCTGCTTCTGAGGTAGCGGAGGGTAGCGGGCTGGGGAAGCACGAATGGTTTCCCAGCACGCTGGCCGGCGGGAGTCGCAAAGGTGCGACAGCAGCCGAAGGCGTGAACCGAACACGGCGCGGCACACTGGGCAGGTCGCATCAGCGCCGGCGTAGCTTCTCTGTAAGCACCGGACATGATGCCGAATTCTGAGATGCTGGTCACGCGCCTTCGCCGTCGCGAAGCGCGCGTCGCACTGGTGGCAAGCAAATGGGCGGGCGCCGCCTCCGACCGGAGCGGCGCCGCCACGGCCACAGCAAGAGTCGGTGAAAAACAGCATGCCCACGGCATTTGCCCAGCGCGCTGGGGAGTCGCTGATGAACGTCACCCAAGCGCTCGCGGTACCCTCCGGCGGAAGCAGCGTGCTGCACAGGGCAACGAGCTCGCGGAGCTTGCCCAGGTCGGAGACGAGCAGAGTGACCCAGGGCAGGCGCGCTCCGCCAGGCCGCGCGGCGAGCAGGGCCAGCAGCGCGGGCGGTGAACTACGCACCAGGCGCCCTAAGTAACGGAGACGAGCACGCATCACCAGGCAGTCCAAGCTGGGCTGCTTGAGCCGCGCGCGCATCTCGAGGTCCGTTTCGGAGCGGCCGAACCGCGGGGCGTCGCCGACTCGTCGGAGCACCCGCATGTACATGCCGTTGAGCACCTGAAGATATCGCCTCGTAGGGACGACCACGTGCACGTTGAAGAGGAGGCAGCTGAGGACCGACGAGTGCATGAGCCAGATCTTCAAGCTGGCTTCCACGACCACCCAGCCGAAAACCTTGCTCGCTAGAGGCCCATAGCTCATGGCCGCCTGCTGTCTCAAGTGGTTGGCGCCTGGGGCCGCGGCGCCAGTGGCGCTCACCACGCCGCCAAGGTGCTTATAGGTGGTGACCACCAGTAGTAGTACCACAGGTCGGGGTACAGCGACTGCAAGACCTCCGTTGGGAAGCACCCGGCGCCGCTGTAGCCGGGCGGTGGCCCCGTGGCCTCGGTGCGCGAGGAAGCACTCGGACTTGCCCGCTTCCCAATTGATGGTCAGGTTCAGGCGGTCGTACATGTCACACACCGCGCGCAGCACGACGTCGATGGCAGCGTCCAGCTCCTTGGGCAGACGCGCCGCGAGCATGAAACACTCGTCGTCGACGAACGCGGCGTCCACGAACGAGACGACCTCTGGGTCGGCATTCGGCCCGGCGGGATCAGCATCCCAGAAAGCCGGGGACCCAGCCCGCAAGCGGAGCAAGATGCCGGCGCCCAGGAGAGCGCCCCGGATCAGCACCATTGCCAACGAGAACGCGCCGTTGAAAACCATGCCGCCGTACTTGCACCCCTGGCGGCCGCCAACGCGTGCGACGACAGCGGTGTCAACGTCACCGCAAGGAAACCATGAAGCCGCGTGGAGGTTCTTGAGCAGGCAGATGACCTCTGGGCTAACGCCCCACTGGGCGAAGAGGCAGCCATGCCGCGCCACCCACTGCGCGATCCATGCGGATTGGTCTGGGTTGAGGCCCAGGGATGCGAGGTAAGCCCCAGGGTCAGTTGCATCGCAGGGCCATCCCAGCACCACCTCCCTCACGGTGCGGTCGAACGCCTTCACGAGGTCAACGAACCATGCAAACAACGACCGCCCAGTCGCATTGCAGCACGCTTGGAAGCTGTGCACGAGGTGAGCGGCATAATCAGCCCCCCTGCCGGCGACAGCGCCGCGCTGCACCTCGGGGATATTGTCCCGGTAAGGGCCAGTGACCATGTGGCTGAGCAGCTGCTTGAGGCCTTTGGCGGCGTGATCCTCCAGCACGATGCCGCGAGACTCGACGCAGTCGGTGAGGGGGTCCTTGCGCTTGCGAACGTTCTGCATGCGGTCACCTGCCCAATGGACGGGCCACCGCTCGGCATCGACGATCTCCTGGTAGAGGGCAGCCAACGGCGTCGCGAAGGCTTTCCCCCCAGCCACTAGCAGTTCCGCCGGCACGCCATCGCGTCCGACGCCCTTGTTCCGCCCCAGCTGCCTGAGCGATGCGGCAACAGCGTCTGGCGTGACCTCGACGGTGGGAGAAATGAGCGGTGCCTCCACAGGCTGCGCGCGCAGCTGGTCCATAGGCACCTCGGCGCCGTTGAAGACTTCCCGGAAATGCTCCTGCCACTGGGCCTGCCGCTCCGCCTCGGAGCTGGACAATGCGCCAGACTTGAGGGGCGCGGGGTGGTCCGCCAAGCTAGCAGCCCGGCCGCTGAGCGATCGCACCACGCCGAAAGTCCCTCTCCAGTCACCCCGCGCGGCGGCGCACTGGGCCTCGCGGGCCTTGTCCTCGAGGAAGAGCTGCCGGTCAAAGTGCACAAAGTGCTGAACTAGGTAGGCGAGCCGTTGGCAAAGCCTCCAAGCCATAGCATTCAACAGGCGCCACTGGAACTCGACGTGTCGAAGCGGCCGAAGCGCGCAGCGCGCTGCCCAGCCCAAGCGTGTTTGCGAAGATGAGGTGAAGTAGAAGACACCCGTGCGCTGCGCAGCCCAGCCGAGGAAGATCCTGTGAAAGTATGCTCGATGCGCCTCCCGGCCAGCGGCATGAACGACTCTGCGCGAGGGCGCCAGCAGGCGCAGTATCGACCACGTGTCGTCGGAGATCCACGGCTGGCGAGGGCGGTCCGCAGGCCTGCCGAAAGCATGGCGGGCGGCGGTGCGCATCTGCGACATCATCGCCAGGGTCTCCTCGTCGATGGATGCGTCGACGGGGACCTGCAACCGGCGCAGCATGGTCTGAAGCGCTTGGACCCTGGCTGGATCGCCAAGCCGCCATTTGTTGAACCGGAAAGCGTCGGGCTTGGGCGCGCGCGCGAGGAGCGCAGACGTGCTGATCGCAGCCACGACGAGACGATGGTCTTCCTTAGCTGCGAGCGAAAGCTGCACGTTACGCGGGACGTAAGAGACGGACACGTGGGACAGCTCGTCCAACGGCCCGCAGATGTAGTCAATGCGGGACGCGGGGCCTTTGCTGGAGCGCCACGCATAGCCCACATCATAGAAGGTGCTGATGGCGGCGATGCGGAGGCGGACGAGCACCGAGAGTAGGTCGGAGCCGTTGGCCGTAAATGTTTCCGAATCGCAGGCGCCGCTTGTCCCGGAGTGATCGGCGCCCACCCTGCCGTTCGCATCGATGCCGAGGAACATCTTAGCAGACG